CCAGGACCCCATGACTTTCAGAGAGAACTGGTCAGTCACTTTGAAGAGTGTCCCTCAGTCTGGGTTTTCAGGTGTTTCCCGTGTGTGGAGGGAGGTTGTGTTTGGGTCAGCGACTCTCTGTCCTTCCCAGGGTGTCCCGTGACAGCGGCTCTGGCTCCTGGTGGCTTGCTCGTGGGATCGTTCCTGCCTTGCAGTTGCCAGGGGTCTTGGGGAAGGGCTGAGACGGAGCCAACCTCTGATTCCAGCCTCCACCAGGGCCCGGCCTCTGTGCTGGTAGCGGGAGGGACTGGGTTTCCATCGCCCCTCACGCTCACTCACATACAGGAGGAGGGTGCTCTCCTGCCCGTGGCTGACGTGGCCACTTGTCCAGGTTGGAGTGAATGCCAGATGCCTGCTCTGAGGTCAGGCCCCTACTGTGAAGGTCACTGTCCTTCCAGGGTTGGACTTGGCTGTTGGGAATCCCTTAGGTCAGCATCGGCATTCTTTCTCCCATCCCTTTGGGAGTGCCTCCTTATTTTCTGACCCACAAGACGCCCAGCGCCTCCTGTACCTCCCCTGCCTCCCGTGCACCTGCCCAGACGCCTGCTTCCTCCTACTGGACGATGGTGTTTAGAGAGCAAGGTCTGGTCATCCACGGTGCTCGTTGCTCAGTTGTGCCTGCTTCTTGGCCTCTTGGAGGGTGGCACAGGGACAGGTGTGTACCTTAACACAGGGACATGTGTGTGTGGAATCTAGCTGTACGTGCATTAAACACCATCAGTTTACCCGGATACCTCTTACTCGGGCAACCTGCGCCTCCCCTTGGAGTTTCCCTCCCGCGGTCAGAAGGTTCACGGGGCCTCCGCGTTTCCCTGGTGGTTGGATTCTGTGGTTCAGACATTTGGTTTCAGAGCAGCACGTTCGCTCCCTTGACTGCAGATTTATCCACGGTTCTTCTCATCTGCAGCGTCACGGTGTCCCGTCAAGATCCACCTCCCCGAGTGGCCCGTGGCCGGCCGTTGCTGCCGGGGCCCTTCAGCGTGGTTTTGCAGGAAACCTTCTGTACAGTGTTGGGTCACCCTCTGTCGGACCCACCCTCCTAGCCTCTGCTCTCTGCCATCCTCCTGCCGCCTTAGTACTCCCTAAGAGAGAAGGATGCTGTGTAGTTTATCCAACCACATATTGTTTCCAATGTTTGTAAAGAAAAATGAAGTTGGATGACCATAACTCTCTGTGCTCTTGTGCTGTTGGAGGTGTACCCTCCTGGATGTGTCCTGTGCGAGTGTATTTTACTAACATTGCGAGGTTTCCCTCCAACACGAGCTCACCAACCCTGTGAGCCGCAAGTTATGAGAGAGCCTGTTCCCCTGCAGCCTCGACAGCACCATGTGACATTCTTCTCTGTGCCCCTCTTTCTCTGGCCAGTCTTATAGGGGAGAAATATATGGTTTGATTTCTGCTTCTCTAATTCTATGGGTGCTTCTTCATGTTTGACGGCCATTTTTCTTTCTTTTTTGTGGATTGTGTGTTCCTGTTTTGTTCTCAGATTTTTATCATGTTTGCCTTTTGTGTCCTCCATTTTTAGAGGCCCCCTTGGAGACCTCTAAGTATTTGGGGCATTAGTGACTTTTGGCATGTGCTATGAACATTCCCAGCGCATCAGTCTGCTCTTGTTTAAGATGTTTTTTTCCATGCAAAATTTTCAGTGTTTCATATAGTCAGACCCATCAGTCCGTCTTGCCTCTAGGTTCTGAGTCGCCCTTAGAAATAGCTCCTCTACACCAAGCTCCCAGGATGTCCCCCACGTTTATGAAAAAGACATTTGAAGCACAGAAAAGTCAGGGTTTTTAGTAATCTATCTGCAACCTGCAGTGTCCAGCCCCTCTGCCAGGTGCCCCAGGGCCACTTGGCCAGGTGCCTCCCCTTATCTGGGACCCCTCCAAGCCCAGGAACCCAGGGAAAACTGCCCTGGAGCAGCACAGACCCACATTCCCAAGACTTTGCCTCCTGCGTGGTTTTTGTTCATGTGTTTCTTTGTTTTGCTCTGTACGTTGGTCCGCAGTGAGTTCAGAGTTCTCTCCTGATTCCTGCCCCTTCCTTACCTGCTTTGCCTTCCTTCCCCTCTTGCCTCATCCTTTGTTCACACAACCCCTAACACCCAGCATCCTCTTTTCTCAAAGACCATTCCACCATTTTCTCTGGAGATGAATGAGCGCAGTCACAGCCCCAGCTTCGGCTTAGGAAATACGATGTCAAGGTAGAGCGCCCACTGCGCGCCTGCTGGTGCAGCGGGAGCAGGTGCCACTCCTCCCACGTCATCCAGAGCAAGTGCAGAAGTCGTCTTTTCCGCATGTTGAAGGCAGCAGTCGATAGAAAAAGCACCCAGATGCTGAATACCTGCAATGTTATTAGGGATTGTTTGGTTTTTTAAAATTTCCCATAACCTACATTCATCATGACCTTTAAGGACAGAGAAGACTCTGTTGTCATGGTATTTTGCATATCAGTGAATGAAGAATGAAACATTTTAGTGATGTTTGATAGGGCAAAACCTTCCGGTCCCCCTTCTCTCCCCTGCCTCTGTCCCCCCTCTCCCTCTCTGAGAGTTCCACCCAGAACGCCCCGTCCTGAGACGCTGTTTTGAGACAGTCAGAATGACCTGGAATTGTGCTTAGGAAGGACGGCCGTCAGGAGGGCCCGAGGCGACAGTGTGGCTGGGAGCGACACGCGGGGCTGTGTGTGTCCGGGCTGGGCCTTGACGTCCTGGGTATTTTAAAAACTGGTCTGTAGACCTCTCTGCATGTCTTCTCTGGGTGGATATTTAGATTTGGGTTGAAGGAGGGTGACCTGTCACCGCCGTGTGAATGTGTGCAGCTGAAGCTGCCTCGGGGCGGGGGGGCAAGACGTGGCATCTGCCACGCGGCGCGGGAGGGGGAGGAGGAGGAGCTGGAGGGTGAAAACCAAGGCATCTTAAACTCCTGGTTCCCACTGTTTGTCTGTGTTTCTGTCTGTCTGTGTCTCCAGAGATCCTCAGAGTCTGGACCCTCCGGAGGTGAGCAACGCGAAGCTTCAGTATGCAGGATGGGGTCCCAAAGGCCAGCAGCTGGTAAGAGTCGCGAGCGGTAGCACGTTTGATCCTGAAGGGGTGTTCCAGGGCGAGCGGATGACTGCACGTGGCTGGCGTGTGAGTGAGTGTGCGAGTCCAGCTGGGCTTGGGGCACAGGCCGTGTCCGTGTGGGAGACAGACACAGAACTGGACTGGCCTCTCTTCTGGTTCCCTGGATCCCTTCAGCGGAGCCCACCTGACCTGAACCTAGAGGCTCCACATGGTGGCGCTCCTGAGGAGGAGGCAGTGAGATATCCGAATCCTGGAGTCTCAGGTGTCCTCTTGTTCTCTTCTCCCGTGGAGGGTTCTGTGTCCACACGCAGAAGCCCCCAGCCCCTCGGCTTCACATCCTGGATTCCCACTCATACTGGCAAGGCTGGTGTTGCAGAGTCTGCAGCTGGTAGCACGGTGTGGTGGAAAGCGCAGCAGTGCTGTGAGCAAGGTCCAGGCCTGGACGCTGTCCCCCACGGCCCCTGGGCCACTGGCTGGGCTGCAGCCTACAGTGAGCAGCCTCTGATCAGGCGAGAGATGTGATGGCTGGACCCCACCCCCCACCGACTCTCACACCAGGGGTGTCTGCAAGCCCCGCCCACTGCACAGAGGGACCCTTGCCCTTCCAGGGGCCCCTCGGCCCGCAGGACAGGCCACTGGGCTGACTCAAGTAGGCAGTATCATTCTTAAAGCTCTTTCATCTCTAAAAATGACATCAGAACACAATGGGTGCTGACTTCTCTGCAGAGCCTCCCCACCCCCCGAGCCCCGCACACGCTGCCAGGCAGCTCACTCTGGGGTCCCTCTCCCCCCACTGTTTGTCCCAGACACTGCCTGTGGTGTGTAGATAGCCCGGTCCTCTGCTGGGCACTGCCCTCTTCACCTTGGTCCTCTGACGTGCCTGGCCTGGTGCCTGTGCTCACTATTTTTTGAGGTAAAGAATGAAAGCATGCACAGACTGGCTCATCACTTAACATCTTGCCTAAACCACGAAGCCTGAAGTAATCCCAGAGAGGTAAGTAGAACTTAGGACGGATGCCAGGACGGCCCTAATGGTGCGGGAAGTCCCCTTCCTTCCCACTCCAAGGAGACCAGTGTCACTGAGTACCAAGTGCTAGTGTTTGGACCGAGTACCAAGGTGCTAGTTGGCTGGTGGAGGTTTTGAGTTTTAAACTTACGTGGCCTTTGGGGGTTTTATTAGGCATCCTTATACTGCATTTAAGAGGAGCGGGATGTGTTACAAGAGTGTCCGTGCGCTGAGCAGGGGTCAGAGATTTGCTCTGAGCAGGGGCCTGTGGCCAGGAGTCCAGGCCTTGCAGCCTGAAGGCTCCTCCCACAGCCGTCCCCCTGTGCTGTCCTGACCCACACGCCGACAGGACTGCAGGAGTCAGGGGGCGTGACTGTGCCCACACAAGGCGGGAGGACCTGGGCGGCTGGTCCACTGGCTGACCCTGGCCTTGGATCTTGTCCTCTGTGGGGCCTCCTTGACTGGGAAGGCCTGATCCCAGGGCCACTGCCCTGATGACAGGGACACTGAGCCTGCTCCGTCTGCAGATGAAACCTGTGATCGAGAGCAGGCCCTGGGCGGTGGGACCTGGCCATGTGCGATGCTCTCCTTTTTAACCAAGACTTTGGGCTTGGGAGGGCACCACAGTCCAGACTGCCATGAAGCACAGACAGAAGGCTCCAGTGGGCAGCACCACCGCATCTGCACTCAGCCCTGGCAGCCTCTCTGATCAGCAGCCTCCTGTGGCAGCCACCAGGGGGCCGAGAAGCAGGACAAGCCCTGCCCCCTGGGCAGCCTTCCTCGGGGCACCAAAGCTCAGACAGATCTGCACTGGGGAGAGCGGGCAGGGAGCGTCGTACTAAGGTTGACAAATCTGGCAAGGGGGAGAGAGCTCTGTTTCCAGCGAGAGGAGAGTATTTAGTGAAATGTCCTGTGCATGCCGAGGACCAGACTCGAGTGACGTCCATTAATGACTTATAAAGGCCTCTGATCAATTTGGGTTAATTTGGTATTCATTGTAAAAACATTCGTCACGGGCACTGAAGTCCATGACAGTAGCCAAGAAATTAATATCCAGGGATGGAAATCGCCCTACGTGTCCCCAGATAATGGATGGAGACAGTTCGGTGAGTGATTTACTAGCCCTACCAAGGGCCCTTCAGAGGCAGCGCAGCGTGTTCTGCCGCAGGGCTCTGCGGGGCCAAATCAGCTTCCCGTCCCTGCACTCAAGTAAATAAGCCGCGTTTTTGGTAGTTAACCTGAAGGATGATCAGTTAAAGAACTGGGAGTCAGGAAATGGCTGCAGAAGCTCCTTCCTGCTGCCGACCATCTCTCTGAAGATGCAGGGATTCAGCAGACAAAAGCTGAGTTGTAACCGTGGTCATGGAAAACGGCATGGAGGTTCATGGGAGTTTGAAAAGACAGCTACCGTACAACCAGCAGGCCCACTCCTGGGCACGTATCCAAGGAGATAAAATCAGTACGTTGAAGACACATCTACACCTCTGTGTTCATTGTAGCACAATACAAAACAGCCAGGAAACGGGATCCCCCTGAGTGTGCACCAGTGGCCACGTGGATAAAGAAAACGTGCCCCCCACACACAGTGGAATCCTGTTCATCCGCGAAAAGGAATGAAAGCCCATCATTTTGACAACATGAATGGGACCAGAAGACATGATTGTAAGTGAGATCAGCCAGGCACAGAGAGACAAGAACTGCGCAGCCTCACTCCCAGGGAGAAGCGGGATGCAGTCTCCAGAGGCTGGGAGGGAAGGGGAGGGAGGGATGGGGACAAGGTGGTCGGCAGTCTCGTCTTAGTGAGACCCCAGGAGTAAGGCTGGTGTGCACTGAGCGACTGTGAGGCACTGGACACGCCAAGAAGCCAGGAGAAAGGATTCGGCATAGATTCACCACAAGGAAATGACCAGGGCTCCAGGAGACAGATTCGCTCACCCCAATTTGAACACTGTGCTATACACACACATATCAGAACCTCACAAGGTACCCCACATGCAGGTACAGGTGTGTGCATCCATTAAAAATAAATTTCAAGAAATGCCCCTTCAAAAATATGGCTAGGAGGACTAGAAGAACATGGAACGCATGTCATCTGTTAAATGATACGAGGACCCGAGATAAACTGCCTGGTGTGCGTTTGTGTGTGGGAAAGGATTGGATGTCCTGTATTCATCAAAATAATTATTTCGCTGATCAGGCTGTGGGCATTTCCCTGTTTCTGAAAGTTTCTTGGATGCAGCAACATTGTATTTCCATTTAAAATTGAAAGGAGTGGAAAATTTATTGGCAGATATGAGATCTAGGACTTCACTCAGACGGCCCCTGCTCGGGTCGCCTCGTGCGGAAGATGCTCGTGAAGGACCAGCACCCACCTCAGGGTCTTTCATGGCACGGGTCCCAGGCTCTTCCCAGCTCTGCTACAGACCTTTGAGGGCTTTTCTGGAACTCAGTCTTTTCTCATTAATATATATATATATTTTTTTGTACTGGGGATTGAGCTCGGGGCACTCAACTACTGAGCCACATCCCCAGCCCTAGTTTGGATTTTATTTAGACACAGGGTCTCACCAAGTCACTTGGCACCTTGCTGTGGCTGAGGCTGGCTCTGAACTCGCGATCCTCCTGCCTCAGCCTCGCAAGCCTCTGGGATTTCAGGCGTGCTCCACCATGCCCAGCTAATAGAATTTTTAATTAACAAATCCTAGTTGTATGTACTTATGAGGTACAAAGGTGATGTATATTTAAAAATAACTAAGATTTATTTCAAACATCTTAACTCAAAAAAAAAAGTGATAATGGAACTCACCATTAAGCCTGAGCAAAATTAAGGAAAATTTTATTTGGGGGCTGGAAACAGAGCCTGCCTGGCTGCCCACCAGGTCTGTGAGGGTCAGTCTCTCCTCTCCCTTGCCAGAGCTCCCTAAATGCGATTGCCACCAAAGCAGAGGATTATTTCTTATGAAGAATCAGATTTAGAAGGGAGCCCGACATCAGCCTCACAATATTGGGTTAGAGAGTTCCAGGATGATCTATCAAAGCGAGTTCATAAGCAGGACCGGGTTCTGCATTAAGGAGGAGTGCATTTACTGATAGGCTCTTGAGCCAGCGTAGCAAGGCAGCTATACATTAAAATAGCCCTGCACATGTCTGGGCGGGCAGAGCCAGGGTGGCCTCTGCAGCCACAGAGGAAGCAGGCCTGGACATTAGAAGTTTCCAGGGGTTAGAGGTGGGCAGGAAGCTCTGCTGTCTGCTGCTCTTTCTCCTGGGTACACATAACGGTCCTTTGTAGATTATGGAATTCTCCCATTTGGGGGGAGGAAACACCTTCAAAATAATTCCTACAAAGTTTCACAATTGGCAGGAATCAGCCTCAAGGTTCTGTCTCCTCTGCTGTGTAGAATGACCGTGCCTTTTTGGTCACAAAATTGCTGAAGTGTTGTCAGCCCCACTTACTGTAGCAGTTAATCTTACGCTTCTTTGTTTTATTATTCAACTCGTTCGCTTTTGAATAACTTTATTTCCCAGACTGAATGTAAGCTGTTCAAGGACAAAGAGTGTTTCTCATTATGTTTTTATCTTCCATGGCCCATTGCTCAGTGTTGAGCAGAGTATAGGATCTCAACAAATACTTGTTAAATGAATGATATCCAGGAGGAAAAGTAAAATTAAATGTCAGATTTATGGATGTAATGTTCAAAATGCATGGAAATTGGAAAAACTTGATGTCCTAACCTAAAAGATTTAAGATGGAACAACTTGTCGGGGGGTTGATTAAGTCAGCTGTTCAGATGGAGCAACTCGAGGTTCTTGAGCCAGACATTTTTCCCTAAAATGTTTGCTGTGCTACAAAAGGTCTTAAAGATGTGAATTCTCACTCTCGAGACTGTTGAGAGTGGGCTGAGCTGAGCAGAACAATAGGGTCAGAGGCCCCTGGCTTGCCATGGGAGTGCAAGGGTGAAGGGCCTATTTGGTCCCAGGCACC